TGGGTGCTGAGGGATCATGGTTCTTCCTCCTCCTTTTGTCCTCCATACGGGCCCTGCGGGTATCTTCGAAGAAGGAGGTGGCCTGGTGGACTGTGTGCCGCCAGGAGTTGCGATCAGCTGCTTGTGTTGCCCACTGACGGTGATCGATGCAGCAAGCAGTGAGGGACTTCTTCAGGGAGTCTTTGTATCGCTTTCGTGGTGCCCCTATGTCGCGATGGCCAGAGGACAGTTCCCCATACAGCACGATCTTAGGCAAGCGGTGGTTCTCCATCCTGGCGATGTGCCCTGCCCAACGAAGCTGTGTCTTGAGGACCATGGCCTCGATGCTGATGACCTTCGCTGACTTGAGGACTTCAGTGTTGGCGACGAAGTCACTCCAGTGAATATTGAAGATTGTGCGGAGGCAGCGCTGATGGAAACGCTCGAGGAGACTCAGGTGACGACGGTACGTGACCCAGGACTCAGCGCCATACAGGAGAGTGGTCAGCACAACAGCTTTGTAGACGTTGACCTTTGTGGCTCTTTTAAGGTTTCTGTTGTTGCAGACACGTTTGTATAGTCTGCCAAATGCACTGTTTGCCTTGGCCAGCCTGTTGTCGACTTCGTTGTCGATCTTGGCGTCAGACGAGATGACGCACCCCAAGTAGCTGAACTGGTGGACGGCTTTCAGTTCTGTTTGTTCAATGAAGATGCTTGGTGGATGGTGCTCCTCATGGGGTGCGGACTGATGAAGAACTTCAGTCTTCCTCAGGCTGACTTCAAGGCCGAAGATCTGAGCTGTTTTCGCGAAACAGGACGTAATTCGCTGCATAGCTGCCTCTGTATGAGCAAGGAGGGCGGCATCGTCAGCAAAAAGCAGCTCCCTGATCAGTTGCTCCATGGTCTTTGTGTGGGCCTGCAAACGCCTCAGGTTGAACACGCTCCCGTCGAGACGAAAACGGATGTATACGCCATCAGCGTCGTCGAGGTCCTCTGTGACCTGCTACAGGGATACACAACAGCTAACCCCGCTAACCTATGCCCAAGTCCTCCACTACGGAGCTAGGGGAGGCTATCTATCCCAGCCCTGGTCAAGCTGGGATCCCGGCACCCTGAGTCTCCAGACCGGCTCGTCAGTCTGGGCTCTCGGGGCCACGCCACCGGCTTGCCCTGGTCGGCCCTTATAAGGACAGCGAGCCAGGGGAGCTCTGGGGCCTATTCTAGCAGGTCTTCCTTCTTCTCTGGTTAAAGCTGAGCTCCGACCTCGAGCCCTCCGGCTCACCACCTTTTATAGGACTCGGCCCCCGGGAGGGGCCCGTGGGGGATGCAGGTGCGGACGTCGGTGCGAGCACCTCCCCTGTGTACGGCCGTAACCCCGCCCCTTGTGTTTGTTGGCCATCCGTGGCCATGCACAATTACACCTCAACATCCGTGGCCATGCACAATTACACCTCTACACACGCACGCCTCACACACACGCTCAAATTACCAGCACCGCGCCGAGGTTTTACCCACACACACAGAAATCACACTGCACGATCCTCTGAACTAAAGTTTATTACTGGCGCAAATACACTCTACCTGGGAGGGGGGGGGGGATATTTCGCGGGAAGAGCTCAGCCTAACTCTGCCGACGAACCCAGTTGCACAAACGTCCTACCACGTACCTTGGATCTGGACTCACGGCGTCCCACGGACGCTGAGAGAGTTGGGGGGAGAAGGACGAGAGAAGACTTGACCTATCACTGTCTCGCAGCAGCACTCGCTGGCATCACACGGATGCTGTGAGCGGCTTGAAGAGGCAGGACGGCAGGGAGAGGGTCTTGATGGCCCGAAGGTTGAAGACAACTGACCTCATCGTCCCGGAGCTCCCACCTTTATTCTCTAAACTTCAAAGGCCCAGGGGGACGTCGCACCGTGCAGCCAATCACGCGCCTACCTTTCTATTTTAAACTGATGCCCCGCCCCTTACCTGGAGCGTTATTTACATTACGCCTCGATTCATTGTCTACGCGCCCACCCTCCCCCTTCCGGATTCAGCCGGTTTGGTCGGTGTTGCCGTACCGCAGAATACACCTCCGCGGGGGGTCCAGAGCTTTCCCTTCCCCCTCCCGGTCTGCGCCGCCCTCATGCTTTTTTCCCCTGGCCCCTCCCCCCGTGCTGTGAGCGTTCTCGCTGTGGTTAGCCCGGTGAGTTTGTGCCCATATACAATTTTAAGCCGATTCAAGGAGGCCACAATGTAATTTGGCCTGGGGGGGGGGGGGGGGTCTGCCAATCTCCTGGCACCGGGAAACCGTGAGACATCCCCGCTAGGGGCCCTTCGGATGAAAACCCATGCCAGGCGATCCCCAACCGGGACCCTACGTGTGTGTGCGCGTGTGTGCGTTCAGGGCGGGGTTTAGTGGACCATCCCGACGTTTGCAGAGCTGCTCCGCGGTCATGGCACCACAATGTTAATACGTGTAATTAAGTTAAAATGTGTTAAATGTAATTAAGAATGTGTCTGTGTTAAACATTAATGATTAATGTGTGTGTATGTGATTGTGGGTATGTGCTTATTGTGATTATGTGTGATTATTAGCTCTCTCGTTGTCTAGGGGTATGTTTCAGTGATTATGTTTTGTGTTTGTGATATCGTTTTAACAATGATGTGTGTACTCATGTCAGGTCCCGGGATTCAGATCTCACTGCATGATACAGTTCGTCATTACGACAATGATGCACAAATTTAGGAAAGAAGCACTCGGAACCCATTTTTAATCTCGGCAACTTTAATCTCACTTACTCTAACATCCACCTCGTATCTACATGAATGAATAGCAACGACAGTACCCATGCAAATATACGAACTCATCAATCCGTATTAAATAACAAACAAAAAAACAAGTATTGGCTAATACTCACGATTAGCCAATACTAATCTTGTCCAAAATTAAGCGTATCAAATGGTCAGAAGAACATCAACGATCAGATCCCATGATCACGTGATTAAAATAAAAATAGGCTGTCTCGTGGTAACGCGACCATACACAATGCCCCCGTTATGGTGATTCTTCTTGGCCCACAACCTGTGCAAGGTACAGTGAAAATAGTGAGTGTAAAGTTAATGTTTCTCACTTCTTCTTTCTGAACAATATCTCAAGTCTCACAACGATATTGTAGAACGGCAGGCTTCATCCACAGTTGCAGTGCGCTCGCGGCCTCGCTGCTCCTTCCACGGTTGTCTGTGCGTCGTGCTCGACCCATGCTGGAGGGTGCTCGGGGCTCCCGAGTCAGCACGCTCGTGGTCAGCCGCTAGCTGCTGCGCTGCACCGGTGCAGGTTATCTGCACGCCAGGCTCGAGCAGCAGTCGGAATGGGCTGTGGCCACGTTGCTCCTCATTCCTTGTCATCAGCAGCTGCCTGCTTCTCGCGAGTACCCTTGGTGCCCCCAGGTCCCTCGGGACGGCTCCTGCTGTGCGCCGCTCATCACTGCTCATCGTTCACTCTCCAAAACTCATCATAACGCTTATCATCAGAATATCAGTCACTTGGGCAACATAACTTTTCCAGCCTATAGCTTGGACAACATTTCATGCACACTCGATATTGTTGCATAACTCAAATCTCCACTTAACTTCTCACATATCTTAGCTGATCACTGTATGATATGAAAATGCATTCGCATATACCTCTTTGCTTCTCACAACTCCTATAGCTTAGTACAACTTATCGAAGTCCTTGACTCTACAAGCGACTCAAAACATAAGGAAAAACTTAGAAACTTTCAGCGATACTCAGAGTCTATCAGCGCAGAACTCAACACTTGGCAACACAGAGCCTTTGCCTCTGCAAGACTTGACTTTCTGGTTGTTTACGAGGATCACCCCCGAAGTTTGCCATTACAAGACTGACCTGTACGATTTTGGGTGCTGTTTATATAGGATTTCTAGCTCATGTGGTTAATTACCTAGGACACCTTACGGCCCAACTTCTTCCTTTCATCTTTGCACACGTGGTGCATCTGGCGGGTCCTGGTTCTTGCTCTGCAGAACTGGCACCTGATGTTATAACCCCTATAAAATCCCCTCCCACCGGAAGATCATCTTGCGATTTGTGCAGTCAGTTTTTAGTTGACCTTTTAATCTGGCTGCCTGAATATCCTGAGCCAGTGATTGTCACTTCCCCCCCCCCCCCTTCCTCCAGAGGTCGTCTCAAGGCTTGTGGATGCAGATGTTCTTAATTGCCCCTGAGTGTGTTGTGTCTGTCGCCTTATTTATTCTGAAACGGCCTTCCCCCCTCTTTAGGTCGGCTCATCTTTAAAATGAATTATTTCTGCAGCATGTAATGACAGCCAATGGGAAGACAAAGGTGGTTCGGCAGGCTCTAGTTATATCCCTGGAATACATATTATTCTGGTCGTGGAGAATTTACGTAATTCGTATTATGTATATCTTAATGATCCTTTGGTTCAATAATTCAATATAAAACTTACATAATTCGTTATCAAGTTTAAATGCCTAACCCAGATTACATGGCACTCATGTATAGATAGGTGGATGGTAATAAAACATGCAACTAATCGCATTCAAAACCTCAATATTTGATGTATTGTCATGTAACAATATATCCTATCACCAAAGTTAATGTTTAATGCCAGGTTGTTTAAGAATGTTCCTATGCATGGTTGGCATTTGAACGTTCCAACTTTCCAGGCACCAGGGTTTGTTTAATTCAGAGTGGAATGGCAATGGACATTCTTGTCTCTTTGCCCTGGATTTGCCCTCAGTGGGCAGCGAGATTATGGTGTTTTGCCATGGGTCCTCCCTTGCTTCTCGGAAATTCCCTGATCACTCCTTGCATTATCATTAGTTTTACCTGCTTATCCCAGACCGTATGGCATAATAGTAATTGTTAATGAAAATATACAAAATAGTTACATCAAAATATTATATCATGTTAACATTTACTACCATAATGTTTGAAAATATTCTTTGAGGTGGTGGTCAATCCACCTTTACAACTTTACAGCCAAAGCCTGTGGAAAATTTACCTCCAGATGCCAGTCTCTTTTGTGTGAGGAACACTGCAGAAGCAGCGGGGGTGCTCCTTTGGCCTTTGTTGTCTCAGTGGAGTTCACAGGCCTCCATTACTGCGTTTTTTAGAACTCGCTAAATCCAAACATGTGAAAAAAATAACTCTTACATTAAAACTAAACAATATCACTCAATATTATTTTTGGAAAAGGCATATATACAACAGTCATGATCTGTTTCTATGCAAACTAAAGGTTTAATTAAGTTATAAATAAAACACAAGACAAATATTTCCCGTATAGCCTTAACAAACAGTTAAGGCAAGTGCTGTTAGCGAGCACCCATTAAGGCCAGCACGGCACACGAGGGGGTCCGGTGGCCAGCATCACGCCACCTTTGTCACCCCAGTGGCGATGTTTACGCACCGCACCAGTTACTCATATGAGGCTGAATCGACCTCAGGGAAGCCCACGACTGGTTCAGATAATTGTCACTGATTTTGGCCATGAGCAGGAATTGAACTCAGGTCGCCGAGTTCGTAGCGCAGTACACTATCGCTCACCACACACGTGCACGGGAAAATGAACCTAAGAAAAATGCACTGTTGGTTGCGATGATTGCGGTTCCGTTGAAAATTTAGAAATGTTACTGCCGAAATTCTTATTTTGATATATAAACATACTGTATTGTATAGAATGCTGTTTGTTGCAGTTGTGTGCGTGAATAGTAATATAATATGCACTTAAGAGGCACCTTTCACAATTTATCATGTTCGCCAGCCACCGCAACACGAAATTAATTGTTAGATTCACATAGAATCTCTTTTATTGTAAAGCGACAAAAGCTAAAAAGTGTGCAAACTAGCGTGGCTAAGTGCTGCTTGGAATTACATTGAGAGACAGAAAGAAGAACACGTCGAATAGAGATTGTTTTTGTTACCAGGTAAGGCCCACCGAGCTATGTCTATGTAGTAGCTCTCTTTGAGAAGTGACCTGGCCACAAATAATAGCTCAACGAAGTGGCTTACCACGTGGCAATTTATAGCAGCAAAATACTCTAAATGCACGTTAATTCTAAATGTGGAAGTAAAAACCTGAGGATCCAGATAAAAATCCATGCGACCACGGGGAGAACAAGGGGGGGGGGAGACACGCAAACTCCAAATATACAGCAGGCTTTAGGGTCGGAATCCTACCCACGACCTCCTGTATACCAGTCACTGCAGAAGGATTTGCATCACACCTGGATCAATAGATATTCAGATGCTGAAACACCAAAAGAAACCCTTGTGCAATAATCAATCTGTTTAGCCATGAATGCTCCTGCATCAGAAATTACCATATGTTTTAAAATACTAGTAATAATTAAACAAAGGAGAATGCAAACTCCAAGCTTCCAAGACACCCCTCGTTGTTTCGACGGGCAGTGAGTAGTCATTTGTGTTATCCTCTTTACAAAAGTTACAACCTCTCCTACCACATGACAGCGAAGTTACAACCTAATATTTCAGAAGAGGCACGCATTCTACAAACTACTCCTTTATGTACGGGACTGGGTTCTGGTTTTAGGGGTCGGGATCGTTGCTCAACTTCTTGCCTCAAGCCAATGCGGAGGTCCTCATAATTCACTGCTGTTGATTGGGTTCATTGGGTCCTTAGACTTGAGTTGTTCCATGCCCATCATGAGGCGGCGTCTTGGAGTGGAGGGATGACGCCTAAAGCTGCGATGGCTCCAGGACGTCGCCGACGCCCTCCCTTGGGCCCAGCGCCGTGTACTGTGAACTCACAAGCAACAACAACCGCCATTCGCCACTAAGTGGCGGTGGTGTCGCCACGGTGCTTGTGCTAGTTCAGCACACTGGTGTGTTGGACAGTAAACCCAATACAACATTTACCATTTGAATACAGTGACGTTTCACTGGTAATTACAACCAGCTTCATCGAGCGAGTTACATGTCCCCCTGTCCACCGACTATTCCCGGCACTGCAGATTCCCACTTCCACCTGGGTACCGCGTTGGCACCCCCCAATGCCCAAAGATTTGCGGATCCAGAATTGGACTCCTCAGCCACTTCGAGAGCCACCACCAAACCTGGTAGACATCAGCCTGGCAGAACAGTTATATTTATGGGAATTTTTTGCCGGTACCAAAACGATGAAACAAAATAAATAGGTTTTACCCTTTCTGGCAATAAGTAATATTTTAAAACACTTTTTAAAAAACACGCTTTAATGAAATGTACCGTACGAGTAATGGCAGAACTCCACGACTCCAGGAAGTGGCCCGAAGCTTGCCGTAACGTAAGGGACCGTGGTGATTTACAGCCAACGTGAGTTGAGCGTGGGCAATTAGACCCAAGCCGAAACATAACATGTAATTCAAAATTTTAAATATATATTTTTTTAATGATAAAATATAGTATTGTCATGAGTATGACATAAGTATACCAAGTTTGCAGTCGATACCACATTGGGAAGTGGGTTGAAATTGAGTTACAAGATTTGAGGCTATGACAACAACAGAGTGAGTTAATAGAGAGCGTGTAATAAAACAGGTGTTAAGATGTTTTGCCACAAGTATCGGGTGTGGTTAATGCAGACTTGATAACTTGCAAAAGGTGTCTATTTGGTTTTCGAACATTTTAACACAAATCCTGCTTTATTGCCAGAAAGGGTACAACGTATTCTTATTGTTTCAGCGTCATCCTGGAACTCCCGAGGGACTCACAACGACGGCTATTCCCATTTCATCTCAATGTGTGCCTCTTACTGAACATTGTTCCTCTGCTAGCTATGGTTTACTCTCAACTCATCAAGTGCAGTTTCGAAACGTGGCCATCATTATCCGTATGTAGGCCATCACGACCGAGATTATAATTCGTAATCAGATTTCACGCCTGTTAGGTCGTGTAAATATGAGTGTGTTGTACACCCTCCTCCACCCGACACAGCCAATGGATACAAATGTCACGTGACTCAATCGTGCAAATTCTAGTACTGCTTCAGTAATCTCACAAAGTGTACGGAAGTTTCAATGGAGATTACATCCAGCATTATCAGATGTCCCCTGGACATCTGTGAAAAAAAACTTCACATATGATCAGATTCCTCCTCCAGTTTCAATAAAGATTCTGATTCTGTCAACAGGAGCTCAGATCTCGAGCGAAAAAGTTTCCTGATCCGGGTCCTCGAGTAGATACCATGATATCATCATCTCAGTCATGCACGTGATCGAATTTAACCAATAAGTTGATTCCTAGTTGATTGCTTGGTGAATGTTCACCGTTTAGCACGGTTTGGGTACGTATGGCGCAAACATTAATTACACTATCCTAACCTGCCAGTCACAATAAATCGAAAAGGAATCAACTGGAATCACGTGGCCATTGCGTGATCCGTGATAAAGGCACAGAGATACCCAGCCTCACGGATTGAACACAACCTCGCGGATCTTGGTGGTGATGGCTCAGCACATCCGATGCAGTCATGAAGCCGAATGCACATCTCATTGTACTGACCACACTGTTGTCCAGCAAGATTTCAACTCACCTCATTCTCAGGTGGAGAAGCCTCTTGGTTAGACGCTCGTCGATTGCCTGCTGAGCACAAACACGCAAATGGTAATGATACAATCGACTCATGCTTAGCCCAATTAAACCTCATATAGTTTTCATGATTTTTGTCAAAATGAGATCAGACTTATTTCTTGGGTACGCTGAGCAAATTCACTGAGAATTAACATTGTTCAAACTGAGTGCCTCAGAGGAAAATCAACATTTAGGTGCATCATAGGACAATGGATATTATCTGCATTGACTACCATAATGTGTACATGCAGTCCCCGGGTTACGGAAAGGTTAGGTTCCCGATAATGATCCATAACTCGAATTTTCCATATGTCAGAAACTGAATAATTTCCCCCCAAAATTAAGATAAAATCCCATAGCCAAAATAGTTGTGCCTCCCCTACTGTATCGCGTTGTTGTCCGTTTTCTATCGCTACCTGTATCATATCGCTGTACATACGCTCTGCGCTTCTTATCATTATTTCATTTAATCTAATATCTAACCTAGCACTACCCATAATTAAACTAATGGAACATATGTTGTTTCCAGAAAACAAAATTTTTGTAATGCTACAAAAGGAAAATAATTCTGTAACGCTAAACATTTTTTTTTACCTTTATCCTAGTGAAGCTTGGGCTCGGTGACGGCTGGGTTTTGGAAGAGCAAGGCGTAAGGTGTTCCCCGCCTAACACCTCGCTCTGCAGTATTAATCTGCAACCTCGCCGCACCGCACTACTTGCGCTTACGTAACTCACGCAAACATTTCCGCATTTTAAACGTTTTTTTTACATTATTTATGGGAGCCTTTCCGTAAGGTCGGACTTCCATAAGTCAGGTCTTCCGCAACCCGGGGACTTGCTGTACTCGTGATTACGACTCAGTACATAGCCTATCCAACACGAGTGCCCATTATTATTTCTCAGTAAAGACCAAAGTCGCGAGGATTTGTTTTTCTCCGGGAGACCGGTATTAGGATGTTCGTAAAGAAATCCACTTTAATCAGGGTATGAAAATAATAATCATAGGTTTAATCATTTCTGGCAATAGAACAATGAATCAAGTCTGCATTAACCACTTGTACTTGTGGTGAACATGCAAACAAACTTGCTCTGATAGTCTTTGCATTGTCTTTAAAACTGATTGGCCTTCACCAGAGACAACCTTCTTTCTGGCCTAATCTCACCAGTGTCAGACCAAAGAACATCAAAAGCCGAACAGTACAAAGCCAATGCACTTATCAGAGCATTTAAAAAGGGTACTTTATTCTGTTTTTTATTGGGTTCTCCGACACAACCCCCCAAATACAGGGGAGGTGGTTTGCCCCGAAGGGTACAGAAAGGTCACACACCAACTTGGTCTTTTCCCAATATTTTGCACAGGCCACCGCTTCTGGCGATGGCATTTACAAATATTGAGTGCATTGTGGTGCTGCAGGGCGTTTCTACCTTTCAATGTGAGCGTAAGCGTTGCACTCACGTGTGAACCGGTACACGATGAGGACGATCACCACCGCTGCTGCCACAACCACCACCGCCACCACCACGACCACCACCATGACCGCCACCAGCCAGTTCACAGGTACAACAAGCACGGGCGTTGACGAGGTGCTTTCTTAACAAGAGAGAAAGAAGGCCACTCCACGACGATTACAGCAAAACAACACAACATGGATTCCTGCGGACATTGAAAACTAAAATTCCATTTGAGTGGTGACTAAAATGTTCATATTCCGAGTTAACAAAATTCATCATCATCATTGCCATCAATAATCATCAGCAATGGTCTTTGCACTTGTGGTTGAATGCCTTTACCGACACCGAACCTCATGGCCTGTGTGAAATACGTTCAAAGCTTGAAACCAGTTCGATATCACTCGCCACTGACCTTAGCCATGTCTAGGAATCGAACTCAGGTTGCTGGCACCACCTTTCCACTCCCATTTAGTCTCAAAGTGTCAACTGCATCATGGCATGGCATGAAGAATGACATTTGCATCTCTCACAAGGAGAGGAGTGTAACATCCCCTTGTGTACAATGATGGGGAAAGATCTGTTCAGAACAACACTGTTCCTTTAAAAGTCACTTCAACAGTTATTCACTTACCCAGAGAAGCCTCTCTGAGATTCAATAATCTCCTTTCAAGAGCGTCTGTGAATTTGTGATGTTTGTGTAATAACCAAAATTAACCAGCACGCACCCCAAGTCAATTCGCAGCCAAACGGTTATTCAAAAGTGGGCCAAGGTCACCGATTGGCGGAAAGAGGCCTCCACAGTGATTGGTAGGGAGGCAGGCTTTTGAAGTGTTTGGAAGAAAGGGTTTGAACGAGAATAGGTGGGATGAAGGTGATGGTTGGGAATCATTGCGAGGGGGACAAACAGTAACGGAAGATTCGAGAAAGGGGGCTCGAGAGATGAATGTCATGCGGGACCCCGGGGTCCCATAAGCCCCCGGCTCTCACATAAACTGTGTTGCGACGTCATTTTATGCCTTGAAGGCGAACGATACGGCAATCTATTTCTCTTGACGAGCTCTACACGATGCGCTAATCAAAGTTTTGTTCATGACTACAGCAATTTTGGCAACATGATAACAGAATGATCCGCGCCTTGGTGGGTCGCGTCGTTTATGTGCGCGATGAGACGGAGTCGCCAAAAATAAATAAATTCATTACGATTTTGACTTTTGTTTATTCGGGACCCCGGGGTCCCGCCATAAAGTTCAGATAAAAAAGGCGAGAGCACAAGGGGAGGGGACGTGGAATGGAAGGCATGAGCTTTGAGACGAAGCGTGAAGCCCGGACCTCATGTTACTGTATCTGAAGAGGCTCCTTGTAGTACGTCGTTCGAGTCTTAATTTATATAAACATCCCAGAGACAATCAACTGCAGTCGTCAATTAGATGAGAGGTGATGAGGGTGGTAACTGGTGTGGTTACCTGTGTAGTGAGTTCAACTACGTTTTCGGACGTACTCCTTGGAGGCACATTTATTGATACCAACACAAAGGGGTAATTGCATGTTCTCCCCGTGGACATATGTATTTTTCTCTGGGTTGTCAGGTTTTTTCCCTCTAAATTTAGAATCAACATCATGCGTTTCGAGTATTTGTGCTGTGTCTTGATCGCCAAGAGCAACCCCGGACTCACTCCTTCATCAGACCAGAGGCAGAGGCGCTTTCACATGAACTATTGCTTTACTGAACGACTCCATTTTGTGGCCCCAAATCCCAGGGACCGCGATCCTTTATAGCTCCGAGCGAAGCTTGACATAACGTTAGGGACCGCGGACAATTACACCCAAACAACGAAACATAACAATTTGGCTGCTATAAAGGTACACATTATAAGCCACTTTGTTGAGCTATCATATGTGGCCAGGTAGCTTCTGAATAATATGGAGTCGCCCACTTCCCCAGAGGACAGAACGCAACGCGGACTAACAACTCAATCGTGTCCTAACTTAATTATTTTTTATTGCTGTCTATTTAGCTGACCTGTCCCATCGTTATGGTTCACAGGTGTAGGGGTCCGGGTGGGCCGACTACAAGGGCATCTATGAACGTCTCAGCAGCAGCTGAAGTAAGGGTGTGGCGATTAAGCGTGGACTGTAGGAGGGCGTAAAGTGACGAGTATTATGGGATGAAAATAAGGGCTAAACGTCAATGACATCTCAAAGATTACGCATGCTCTTTTCCAATAATGATCTTTCTACTTTTTATTATTTCCTCAGTCAAATGACACAATTACCCGTATATACGAGGGTCCACACACTCACGTTCATTGACCACGAGTGTCACGCTGTCACAGCGGAACTTCTCTCGGCCTCCACATCTCCACTTGCGCAAACAGCGATACTCTCTGCTGTCGTTGAGGGCGACGTCGGTGAGGATCAATGAGACGTCATCGGTTCCCGGCTTGGCCAGGCGGACCTTGCCCTTGTACATGGGGTCCGTGAAGTTTGTGGCATCCGTGACGAAGGACAGCATTTCCTGTATCTCCAACTCGGATTTGACTTTGAACCATGCCACAGATTGGAAGGTGCAGAGTGGTGGCGAGGCGCGAGTGGAGTGGAGTGGCGTCGCCTCCTTACACTCTGATACAAAGCACGGGGGAACAGCGACATTCACGCACATTGCAAACACATACATGGGCACACACACACACAAGTAACAACTGCCATTCACTATCAAATTTAATCACCGCAAAGCTTATGCCAGGCTAGGTGAGGCAGGTTTTCTAATGGAGGTCTGAATTGGCTGAGATCAGGTGATTGTGCATTTGGATATGGTCTGAATTGGATTTCCACTCCAGCAGTCGAAGAATGACACGGGCATCTTACAGTCGACAAGTTGGTGGTCAGCAGGCAGATCAACTCCATGGTAGATCAACTCCATTGTGTCAAGGTTCATATTTGCTGTCCTGCCACTATATAGTAGTAAATCCTTCCTACGGGAGAGACTATAAAATGTGGTCTGCAAAACCGCCTGTCACAGGCATAACGACAACCACCACAACCACCATAACCAGAAATGCTACCACTACTATAATCAGTAATACCACCACTATAATCAGTAATACCACCACTACAATCAGCAATACCACCAATATAATCAGTAATACCCCCACAATAATTACCCCGAGCATATCCATGGTAAGACCAATCACGACCACTAACAAACACAACCACCACAGCCACCATAATCACCATTGTCCACTACAACCGCCAAGACGCATGTGTATGGGGGCTGCAGCCCAAGATTCAATCCCCAGATCCCCCCTCAATAGACTTCAATGTGGACTATGGACCCCAGATAACCTTTTGTCTAACCCCAAAATCAAACACTTCCCACAGCTCCCTCCTCCTCTGCGGTTAACCTGGCTTCACAATCAGGTTCCATGTGTCCGGCTACGTGACATGGGCACCACATGACCTCTTGCCGAACCTCAACCTCAAACACTTTTCCCACTGCTTGTTAACCGGGCTCCGCAATCAGGTTCACATCTCTGTATGGCTACGTGACATGGGCTCCACATGACCTCTTGCCGAATCCCAACCTCAAACACTTTCTCCACTGCTGGTTAATCAGGCTCCACAATCAAGGTCGCATTTGAGCCCAGGGTTTGGGTACTGACACGCCATCGCCTTTTCCACTCAATTCAATGGGAGGTGATTTTGGTGGTGGTGGTGGTGGTGGCTGTGGCCGATGTGTTGAAGTCAAAGGGTGGAACTTTTTTTCATATTTGTGCTCTGCATCTGACTGGAACACATTACTGAGTTGCTGATTCAGTGGACTCAATTCTTCAAATACCGTAAAATGTTCGTTAAAATAATGCACAAGCCAATATGAGAGCCTTTTTCTTCCAACTGTTGGATCAGAACTCCTTCCTTTATGGAAGTGCTTCTTACCCTAGGGTGCATGCACTCCCTGTGGGTGCGAGATGCCCTTTCTGGGGGTGCGAGACATACCAGATGGAAACACAAATTAAGCACGGACACGTGAGTACAACTACTATGTTTCTTTAAACCTATGTATTAACATTTTTATTTGTTTTTCGATTGAGAACCACAGGGGTGCAAAGCTGCAGTAACGGTTAAGAACCACTCCTTTAAGGCAATGTCCCTTCGAAAATACATGCTTGTACCTTGCAAAAGGCAATTCGAATGAGGAACGTGCATTTTCTGAATACAGACACATAGCAAGATAATTGAGTTAGCGCTATTAGAAACTGCACTGCACTGAGCCATATCACAACTCTGTAGTTGGCTATGCCTGTGTTTACTATGTTAAACTTATTTTGCTACCACACATAGCCAACCGTGCTAATTTGTGGTGCGGTGGAAAGACAACAAACCAAACACGACAAGCAGTTGTAAAGAAATGAGTTTTGAATATAGATTTAAAAGTGCACAGCTCAAATGGCTTCCTAAGATCGGAACGAAGAGCGTTCCAGACGGCCGCAGGAGTGCATCTGAAAGCGTCGCGCGATGCAGTAACCGTCGTTTGATGGTTAGCCAAAAACTTCTCCGAGGGTGACTGGAGTTCGAGTGATGATGGTTAATGCTCCTTCACGATATCGTGTGTACTCCCGTGTAAAAAAACATTAATTGAGTTAACCGATTGGTAGACCTGATCATATTGGAGTGGGGACATGTCCATGCACCTCACACCAAATTTAAAGAGCCAAGAGTGGACTGTATATTGGACTGTTTTGGTCGACTGGACGTAGATAATTCATTATGATGTATTCAACAGTTTGTCATCGAATCGACCAATAATAATAACTACAATAGAATTGTGACTGAATTAACGCCATGTACTTAATTATATGTATATGTGTACATGTGTATCTCTGTGTACATGTGTAAGTCTACGTGTTAGAGTGCATATCTATGTGTACATGTGTTAGTGTCTATGTGTGTTCAGTGTATCCAGTACCTTGTGCCTGCGTGAGCAGTGCCAGAGCCAGCAGCAACAGCCAGCCCACGACGAATCCCCGACTCTCCTCCATACCTTCACTGTGAATAGCCACTGAACGAGCGAGACACGGTTTGTACAACGACAGAGAACAAGCGGAGTGGGCGGGGTTAGTAAATGAGAGGGCATGGCTATAGCAGAGATGATGGGGCTGGAGATAAGGGCTAAAGAAGGATTCGACTGAGGGGGGAGGGGCTAGAGTTTGATAAGGAAGGGGCTGGAGAGGGATGAGAGGGGAGGTGAGAGGGATAAGAGAGGGGCTAGAAAGGGAGAGGAAGGGGCTGGAGAGAAATAAGGGAGGGGTCACAACGACCGGGGTCGTGAGCTGCAAAGTGTCAGAATCCGAATATTTATTTCAGAATATTAATAGGAGAAATCCGATTAACTATCAAGCTCTTTTTTACAGATGTCCAGTCGGTGGCAGTGAGGTTCGGCCACGTGATTTTTCTTACTTTATCAGTGTGCTCATTGATTGGGTGCCGTGGTGGCTCGGATATGTTTACTATCTCTCCTGATATACAGGAGGTTGTGGGTTCCATCCCGACCCTGATGCCTGTTGTATATTTGTAGTTAGCATTTCTCTCCCCGTGGTCGCATGGATTTTCTTTCCGGGTCCTCTGGTTTTCCCCTCCATATTTAGAATCAACGTTACACGTTTAGAGTATTTAGCTGATATACATTTCCACACGATAAGCCACTTCATTGAGCTATCATTTGTGATAGCAAGGTCCCTTCTCAAAAATAAGTGTATTCCTGTGGGCTTTCCCTGGGAGGATGGGGACAGTTTAGTTGTATTTGTATGCATTTGGGTGATTTATTTACCTTTCTTGTACTTTGCACTCCAATCCTGTTTGTGTATTGTTGTTGTAGCGTTCTTACCCCGTACCCCGACTGGACATGCTAATGTATCACATTAACATAATGCTAATCCCTCACATTAACATAGCCACTTCCGTGCCCTCGTCGAGGAGGCCGCTCTCCTTTCTTACAGTTACATGCTAATTTCTCACATTAACATCACTAGCCCCGGCTACTTCTTTATAACCTTTGAGCTACACCCATTTCAATACATTTAAAAGTCTGCCTCAGCAGCAGACCATGCTTTCCCACCTGATGATGGACGCTTGTGTTGCGCCCGAAACGTCGTGATTTATTTTATTTTATATCTATGTGACTTTACCGAAAGAACCAAAGAGTATGTACAATATTGTGCACTAAATTCATTTTCAACAGTGTAGAGCACTTTACACTACGTAAAAAGAAATTCTCATTCTATACATTTTCTGTTCAAGTGATATTTAACACTGTGGAGAATATTATTCATATTGTACATTAAAATACTTCCCGTTGCAGGCCTGGGTTCACTTAGGGTAACATGAAACAGAAGGAGGGGTGGGTTGTCATGTTACAAACCGTAAACCAGATTTGCCGATTGAGTGCCAAACGAATTTTCGATTTGCCGACCAAACACTGGCCGCACTCATTGCACACAAAGTGCTCTCCGCAAATTAACCACAAACGTTTAACATGTAGTAAGAGGCTTTTGCGACCAGTATCATCCGTTATAGAGTTTTTTTTTTGGTTAGATCACATGAATATAATTGTTGTGTCGTTAAACCCGCCACCACCCGACACAGCCAATTAGTAAAGGTTTGTCACGTAAACAAACACATGCAAATTCATTACTAGTGTAATGATTGTGGTATCACTACTGTGTACACACGCACACGTGTGACGTTACTATGCCGGGAACGTTACTACCACGTGGGTCTACACACACACATGACGTCATCCCAGCTGAAGGCGGGAATGACGTCAGGGCCTGTGCTGGACACGTGACCGGATCCCAGTGGGGGCCGGGGGCCAGGGGGACCTCGGGGGGCACGTGGACAGCAGGGGGGCTTCGAGAGGGTGCTCGAAGGGAGGCGTGGCTGGGGTGGGGCCCGGGCACACCGAGGCCCATATAAGCGGCCTCCTCACAAGGTTCGAGGCTGCCCGTGCCGAGAATGAAGACGCCTTGTGAAGACGCCAAGAAGAGAAGGCCTCCAGTGAGCGGACCTGCCAGCAGCTCACCTGACTGGGTCACACTAGAGTAGCTGAGAGTTAGAGAAGTGTGTGTTAGCTAGAGTAGGTCGGTGGTCACCACCCTATGTGTAAAGTAAGAGTAACTGTTGTGTTCATTAATAAATGAGTGTTGCCTCCCAAGAAGTGTGTGCGCCTAAATTTAACCATTACACTAGTATAAAGACGATCTCAACGCACTTGTCCGGTTAAGGAGTTCTTTATTAAGGAGCAACGTGTTCACCCTCAAACTGGCAAAGATCCCACTGCAGCCGGCCCGAATCTCCCGCACGTTCTCCTTATTTAAGGTGCGTGGCCACGACCCTGTCCCATGGCCCTGCCCCTATTCCCGATCCTTCCTGCTGACCCGAGACCACTCGTCCTGCAGGTTGACTCCATCCCATTACATCACATGGCCATGCCCCTATTCTCGATCATTCTCGTGGCCTCTAGTCCACTCGCACTGTAGGTTGACTCGACCATCATTACACTGGTGTAGTGCTAATACTTACGTGATCTGAGGGTAGAAATAGTCGCGTAATAAAAGGGGACAGTGTCAGGATGACGTAACAATGAAAGGAAGAGAGAGGTGATGTCACCGGGAGAGGCAGGGCGATCGAAGCATTTCTTGGGGGAGAACGGAGTAGGGTGGACGCGTGCAGGGTTGGACCAGATGACGCCAAAAGGCGTCATCTGTTCCAATCCATGTGAGACTAGGCTCTAAGGAAAGCTGTCTCGGGTGTGGACCAATCAACTTCAAGGACAGTGCACATTATCAGTTATGTTTTTTTGTTTGCATTATGACTGCAGGTGTTGTGGTCTATGCAAACATGACTCCTTGTAAAAAGGTGTCAGTTTTGTTGCCAGATAGAAGGGTAAAAAAACAATTATCACCCCTACATGCACTTACAACTAAGGGGCAAACATTCCAATGGGGTACTGAAGAGGACAGGGCTATTAAAAATCTGTGGACACTCCTTACAGAGGCACCACCGCTGGCATACCCTGATTTTTGATTGCCCTTTACGCTGGACACAGGTGCAAGCAATCTGGGGGTTGGGGACATCCTTTGTCAGGTGCAGTCAGCTAGAGAGATGGTTATAGCATATGGCAGCCGGTACTGTCATCAACTGAACAACGCTACTGCTTAACGAGGAGAGGACTCCTGGCCGTTGTGCATTTTGTACAGCAGTTTTGCCCATACCTATAGGCACGAAAATGCACGTTGCAGACTGACCACGCAGCACTGAAATACTCATTACACCTGGTCAAATGATCAGGTGGATTGATTGGCTGCAAGAATTATCCTATAAGGTGGTCCATAGGAAGGGGTTGCGCCACACCAACTCATGTTTTATTGCGTCTGCCCGAGGCAGGTACTTGTGCATGTGCTAGGGGCTCGCCCAGGTGTAAACCACTCTTACCTGACGCGGTATTCCTCACAGCACCTGTGCACATGTGGAAATACAAACCAGAGCCTCCCCTGGCCGATCATGATTTAGGACAGAATCAGGAGGAATGGCGTCGATTACAAGGGGAAAATGAGATGCTGGACCCCATTCGCACCATAAATAAATTCAGCCCAGAACAGGACCGGCCTCCAACAGCTTCGACATTCATAGATTACAAAGGGCTGTTGATGTGCTGGGAGATACTAGATTTGAAGCTTTCGTGACTGCAAGGATTCATATTCTTAGGTTTTTTCGGTAAAGTCACGTAGGTAAAAAATTTAAATTAATAAAAGTTAAATAAAAATAAAATAAAAATCACGACGTTTCGGAGGCAACACAAGCTTCCGTCTTCAGGTGGAACCGTCACAGCACAATAGCTGTATCAAGTGAGATAAATTCCAAGAAAACAGTCCTTGTATATATACTGGTTGAGGGTGGGAGGAGCCAAGGTAGATCCTGAATATTATTTTTGTGAGGTTCGGTGCGGCTGAAGCACGCTGTTAGGAATGAGCCTTTGTTGTGTAAACTAGGTGCGGATGATGTAAAGGTGCATGTAAATGGGACTGAGCCTTGAGTTATGTAGAGGTGATGCGGCTGAAATTGCTACCAGGAAATGAGTCTTTGTTGTGTAGAATGGTTGACTGAGCCTATTGTCATGTAGAGGTGGTGCGGCTGAAATCGCTGCCAGGAAATGAGTATTTGTTGTGTAGAATGGTTGACTGAGCCTATTGTTATGTGGAGGTGGTGCAGCTGAAATCGCTACCAGGAATGCTCCAAATATGTGTAGTTAAATCTTTTTTTTGCATGGTTAATAACATCTTTCCAATGATTACTAAGTTTGTACCCATCATCACGGTTGAAATTATGTCTGTGTTTGTATATTTGGATGGCCTCGTGTACAAACCTTTGATGGTAGCCAGGAAGCTTGCAGAGCACCTTGTTCTCGGACATGATCAGAGATATGACGTTTTGTTTCTCGAAAATGTAGCAATCACCACAACTGCAACTCAGTTTGTAGACTCCAGGGTATTGTAAGTCAGGAATGACATCTTTCACAGATGGAATTAGATCACGGATTTTATGTACTGTACTGAATCGGACTTGGATCTTATGTTTGTTTAGAATTTTTTAGATCTTTTTGGTCACGCCTGCTATGTATGGCAACGTGATAGTTTTGATCGGAGTTTCATGTGGCTTCTTGGTTCTTTCGGTAAAGTCACGTAGAAGGGAAGTAATAAAATAATAAAAATAAAACATAATAAAATAATTTTATTATGTTTTATTTTTATTATTAATAACAATAATTGTATTATGTTTTATTTTTATTATTTTATTACTTCCCTTCTACGTGACTTTACCGAAAGAACCAAGAAGATGAATCCCTGCAGTCACGAAAGCTTTAAATCGAAATTTCATGTGGCTGTTTCTGTATGGTGGGAGAAACAGCTTGGCGGATTGCGCGGTCAGAGTATGCGTTCATCCTGAGGGCCCGATGTACATGTCTTAATTCACTGGCCAGGTGGTGTTGGTCAGAAATGCCACGAGCTCTGTGGTATAGCGTTTTGATGAGAT